CATCTGGTTTTGTTCTGGTCCACTTGAGCTTCTGGCTGATCGCTGGCCTAGTGGCATACTGAGGGTGAATACAATGTAGCAATAGCTTACTACGATACTTTGTATTTCGCTCTCCAATTCCGCTATTGTTTCGATTTCCGGAAAACATCCGCCGATTCGGAATGGCCGAAAAAGTCTTCATTGTTCATCTCAGTCGATTTACTCAGTCACCGCTCCCGTTTGCTACTTTTCAAACTCAAAACCTTTTTTTCTGTATTCGGACACTTTGCACCAGTTTCCTGTTTTTAAAGCCTTTGACTTTCTGAGGTTTCAAATTTCGTTGTTAGCCTGCCCTCATTCAGGAACCTTTCCTCGTTGCACTTTGTCATTCTGTACCGTAAAGGAATATCTTACCCAAATAGTCGCAACTTCTCTGATCGAAGCAAATGTCAGCAGTTACCATTACTTACTGTAGTACTGGGAAAACAGTAATTTACTTGTTATTATGTTGTACGGATTAGGGTTTTGTTCCACTTTCGTCCGTGAATCGTGATACAATCGACATTCATTCTCCCACCCCTGCCCATCATGGAAAAGCTGCTGAGCAAACGAAAATGTGTTCTTTCCATGGGACTCATGGAAAACCCAAAAAAACTAGGCGGATTAGAAGGTTTTCATTCAGTTTTCCATTTGCGCTCTGGCCATACGGGGTCGTTTGGGGGTAACATGATAGCTCCAAGTGTTAGTTCAGTTTTTATGCTCTACTTACATTATGGTTTCAATTTACTTGTTTATTCATCGTATAGTAACAGCAAAGGACAATTTACAAAATAGAAAAGCCTTCAGACAATGATAAGGAAAGCATTCATTTTTAAACTGCAGACTTCCATACCTTAAGGGGTCGCTAAAACGCTTGTATTGATCAGTGGGCGTGGTCAAAAACGAGGAAGTTTAGAAGAGGCGTCATTCTCTCCCTAGTTTCTAAGCCCCCGGATGTGAAATCGAGACAGGCGAGGGGAACAGTAAGCCGCCAACCACCTGAATCATGCCGGTTGCCACCTGCCCTCTGACCTAGTCGACTTCTGGAGAGGTATTTAGAAGTTTTACTCATTTCAACTCCTTATTACTCATTATCTGCCACTTATTTTCTAAAAAAATAATTTAGTAAATATAACGAATTTTCTACCTTACGTTTGTTTATTGGCGAATGAAACAAGCCATTTTATAGGTTTGAAATATTTATTCAAATTATCTGCTTCATAACTATAACCATCTATCCAATATAATGGGTGCCCTGACTTTTTTCCAGCATTTTTTGGGATATTGATTTTTATTATATGACTAGTGAGGATTTGTTTGGGGACTCTCGTTGTTTCTTTGGCTGCAGACCATTCGTACGGTGGGTTCCCCTTTGTTCAGTATGAACATTTGAAAAAAATTCCTCGTAATGCTCCTATAACACCTGTAAAAATACCTTTATTAATAATTTAATACCAGGAGTATCTGATAAAAAAAGGGAGGTACTATTTTAGGTTATGGCGGGAGTTCAAATCTCTTATGAATCGTCATAGGTTGAGAGATAAGCATCCAACTCACTGAAATCGCATCAATTATGCTGAGAAACTTCACGAAGTATAGATGCTCCTCACTCTCCCCGATTAGTAATGATGAATTTCTTTCTCGAATCTTCTAGTTCCTTAGTTGGAGTGGATCTAACTGCCCACTATCTTATCCCAGCTCTCAAGCAAGTCTTTCAGAGCGGCTCGTTTTTCAAGGCAGACCTGAAGCAGATTCTTTTTTTTCGTTTATTTCCATTTTTTTTCCAAACCCCTGGACTCGCGGGTGTGTTTGCCCTTGCTGTTAGCATTCTAGTCAGCTTAGCTTCATTTCCGTTTGAAGCCACGTTTCATTACTAGTTTATGGGCGGAGACTTAAAGACTACTGCACTATTCCCCGTTCTTACTTTGCAAAGAAGGTCTTCTCTTAAGCCAGTTGTCGACTGCCATTCCAGGTGCTCCCGCCTGGTCATCTTTGTCAGCACCTCAGCCAGTGTACTTCTGCTTATACAATTGATACTTCGTGACACCAGTTATATCGTAGTCAAAGACTGCCTGAAATACTTGAAACCACATGCAGAAAACCTTATCCTTCAGTGCCTTCGAGGTGATCGTGTGTCTTGAAAAGTTTTGGAATGACTCATAGCAGTGATGGATTACTATTTCCTCTTCCAATTTCTTCCCTTTTGTTTACATAATCTAGTTTACTTGATTATAAACTGTTTAGTAATCTTTCTTCAAAGGAAACGGTTTCAGCTCATTATTCAGTTTCATGGTGAATTTGTGGCTGACATTCCAGCCCACAGCCTACCAGTTCATGACAAATTGTAACTGATTCTGTTCCCATCATCTTCCAGTGTGGGTGGAATTCTATCGTGCCCGATTCAGAACACATTCTGATTGCTGAGAAAAATGCTTCTTGTCTGACTCATTCAGCCGGGTAAAATCACGTTCTTCTTTGTCGTTCTCATTTTTCTCTTTCGCTTCCATTCAGTGAATTGTTGCTATCGATTCCTTTCTTTTCTGCTATTTATAACACCATTATTATCTACTATACTAAGTTTTATCAAGCAAAATTAGCTAAAATCAACTATTCAGCCTGATTACCTGTGTCCTCACCTCCTCAAAATTCCTGAATGACTCCATCAATATGACGGTTTTGTATGTTATCGCTCTGGGAATCCTTAACCCCTTAGATTACTAGCTTTTTTCGACGGAAATCGGAAATCGTTAATAGATGAATCAGCTGTTACTCACACCTATCTGCCTCGCTCCACTGACCTATACTTCTTCATGTTTTAAAAACTATCCCTTGAAAGCAAACAGATGTGAAGTTTATTCCATTCCTATTGAGTATATAACTGTCAAACTTACTAGTAATCCATAAAGTCTACGCCGAGCCTAAAAACGATTGCTGACGGTTTTGAGTGTCGGGTAAGGTGTTGGCAAAGCAATTACTATTACAGCCAGCCTTCCTCTCCTCCCTCTATCGTCATTGTCCTTCATTAATTGCTGGGGAAAATTGTGTAAGTGCCAGAGTACGTATGTGAATACCAAGGCTAGCAAAGAGTACTCAATTCAATTAACACCCTCACTGGATTGTAGTGGTACTCGACGATGTTTGTTTTTGCTTGACAACATCGTCAACGGGGAACTCGTATTGTTCGAATTCTTTGATGCACTTTATGTGATAGCTCTATTCAGATAGAAATTCTCGCAGGCCGTTTTTCTGAAGGATTCTTCGAAACTTAGGGACCTGCATTACTCCAGTAGCCTTTAAGTACTTGTTTGTTTGAAGCCATGCAGAAAATTATCTAAAAAACATGAGGTTCCCAGCCCGATCATCAAGTTATCAGTATCATTTATCCTGAAACGCTATAGAATTTACCGGTATTTTCAGGAAAATGTTGATATTTTTCGAGGCGTCAATGGCTTTCGAATAGAATTGGGCTCGAGTAACTTTGGAATAGTCACCTTTGCTCTGCCCATTACATTATAGCCACCGCCGCTCAGCTCAGTTCACATAGTTACAGACATATGTCTTGATTTGATTACTGCACAGCCCTGTACTCCCAAAAGCAATTACTCTGAAGTTTTTCATCCACAGAGCGCCGAGCAGATTACTGTTATGGCCTCAGTCAATCATGGCGGAAAATGGCTTTGTTGGGGCGGCCTCCCAAGAATTTTCGTCTCTGCCAGCTTTCTCTTCCCTCATACCACTCGAACTTCATGCAACAAGCTGCGGACTTTTCCTGGTTGTTATCTAACTTTCTTGAACTTCTCCAAGACAAACTCTCACTTGAAAATGCCCGAATACGACCCTCCTGGAAAGTTCTTCATCGCACCCTTGGCCAAACTGGTATCTTTGTTGAATCCATCACTTTGTAACAGAAAGCTTTGCAAAATTACCTAAAAATCAGAATCAAATCACTTTTATTATATACTTATAATTTGTGTAAAGCCGAATAGAGGTCTTAATACTGGTCATAACAGGAGTAGATCCTGTTTCAGGAAACGTAGGGGTGTCCTATTATCAAGACGTGAGAAGGGATTGCGTAAATTTTTGCCACTTTTAACATTGAAGCCGTTGAAAAGAAAAACAAAACCACTCGAAAACGAGAATTACTCCCACTTGATTGCAACGTTGCAAATGAAGTTTAACTAGTTCATCAGGATCCTTCCTCTTAGCAAAATTAGCTCCTTCTGGTGGACTGTTCCTATTTCGTTTTGGAAAAACTCTGATTAACTCTCCCGGCACATTTCCGTTTTCGCTTGAATGGTTTTCGCTCTGATGAAAGTTCCAGATTCACGTCCTCGATAATGAAGACTCTTTTGAGATTCGTAATCAATCGTGGACTTTTCCGGAGAAATTCCTGCAGATTCAGCAACCAGTTTGAAGCTTTACTGGTATCGGGAAAGATCGTTAGAAGAAAAAGTAGGGATACTGTAGCTCTGTCCGTAGAGAATGTTTTCCGAAAGGAACAAATAAACAACATACTTGAGAACTTATAAACCAGGAGTAAGTAAAAAAGAAGTGGCAGAACTTTTTATACTTGAACTTTTCAATAATTCATAGCCTTCTTTTTATTTCCAGGAGAATGGTGTCATGGAAGGGTGTGAATCTTGTTGGGACCTACCCTGGGCGATCAGGGGGATTCAGCATAATTATAATGCCTAACAGAAGAACATTTCTCATAAACCACTCAATCACTTGGAATTTCACAGAGAAGGGTAGGAGAGTTGTTGGTCTTGATTCGATGAGGCAGTCTTAAGCAGCTTTTCCGGTTTTTACCCAGCATAGGCTCATCTGAAGATAATGGAAGGGTGCACTTTGAACATCAATAGACTATTTTTTACAAGAAAAATAAATATAACGGGGCACAATTTACTTGATTACTCGTACTCTTACAAGATAGAAGGGAACGCCTGTGTAGATTATGACTTGTTGAGACGGTTGGCTGTCAGATGATATTCATCATATTGCCAGTAAAGTCACTTAAAAGGTTTATAGCGCCATCAGAATGGGGTATTGGAACGAATAGCGTCATGATTGATGGCGAGACGTTATCTATCATTCGTTGGAAGGCGTCATTTCTCGACGTTGTCCAGGAAGAGAGAATATGTGTAGCGATGGAGGCCCGATTTCTCAGCTTGAACCACGGAGCGGCGTCAGACGTGGCGGACGGCCGGCTGGCGGCACCACCAACAAAAACCCCCAGCTCACCACGAAAACCTCCCCCGATGCTTCATATCGCACTGACGAAAAATCTCTAGAAAAACATTTCCAGCCGAAGCCCATTAGTCAGGTGCTCGTCGTCTCGTTATTTTACACCTTCAACACCACGTACAGGGCGACTGGATGGCAGTCATCACCCAACTACTTACTTACTTACTCATCTTCATATTCCCCCTCTGAAATATGAGACATGGGGAGGAAGGCTAAGAGGCTTTTAGTGCTAGCTGTGTTCCATCAAATCTGCGCTCATCATAAATCCTGAGAGCATTTTTCATGTTTGCCCTTGAATTTTAGTCTTAGCCATTTTGCTTCTATGATCGATAGACAGAATAGGCGTGGTGTATGTATGTGTATTACGTGGATATCTGAGCTAGCCTCCTTCGTCCATCAAGTCCATTCATTCTATCTGTCCATTGATGCGACTTGACGACCACTCTATATCCATAATATCCGTTCATTCATTGGCGAAAGCGTTTCTCTGAAATGCAATCATAAAACCGGCGTTTGATATGGCTTCAATCCATGGATTCCTTCTTTGAGTCATTCGTTGTGGGCAGAAGCCGGCCGTAGCACTTTCACCCAGTGGTCTAGACGCGATGATCCTTTGGGAGCATAAGTCAACATTTGACGCCCAGCTGACTGGCCGCATTCACTACTTTCTCCCATCGAAACAGCCGACAACCGAAGCGGCTACAAAACCAGATTCTCAAGGGGACTTTCTACTGGATTGCTAACAATTTGATTGATTTCACGCTAACAATCGCGCTCATCAAGGTAAAGAGGAGGAGTTTTCTGTCATTCATAGCCAAACCAGTAATCATCTTGTTTGGTGGCACTTCAAATGGTTCTCATGAGGGGGCTGTCCTCATAGCATGCCTGCATGGGGATCGGGCTAGAAACGACCCACGCAAATTGCAACTATTCATTCTTATGCTGGCCACCACCGCTGGTCAAGCATTTGCGCATCACTATTACACTCTGCAACCAATCTCAGCAGTTTCGTCGTATTCCCCTCAACATTTCCTTGGTCTGACTCATCCCACTATGCAGATGACTTCAGCCATTTCGATTTCTTTCGTGAACCATTCCTTTTCAACGCTTTTTCATGTCTTTATCACTGTTTCCCGTCGTCCGTGTATTATGAATCAAATGTTCTCCTATCAAACTCGACTTCTATCCCTGGCTGGTAAGTCGGACTGACTCCTGGCCGTCACACTTGTCGTCTCTTCCATTTTTGTTTATACAAAATTACTCCCGGAAATCAATCACATCAAATGAATGAACGTTGTCAGCCATCTATCATGATTTATGTGTGACGGATTCGTAAGAGAACTCGCGAGAAAACGAGCCCTGCATTTTATCAAATTCGGCTGAAATTGCTCGCACACCCACTCTCTAACTCTTAACCTTCCCAACCCAATTTCTTTTGCTGAAACACACTTTTCGTTAATCCAAGCTGTTTACTCATTCCAAGGGTTGAAATCTGACACAGTCGGCACCTGAAACAACAAAAAGTAGAGAGAATTTGTAATTCATCTGCTTTTTTTTGAGTCCTTTTGATCAATAGGTGCCACTCAGTTCACTTAGTCATCCACGACTGACAGAAATCTTCCCATATTTACAGCCACCCATTGCCAGCGTGGGAGTCTTCTCAATCGAAGACTCATCAATCTGCATTAATTTAAACAATAGCGATCATTTGATTCATTCTATATTTATTTATTTATTCATTTAAACTTGCCTTCATATACATATATGCTTCATTTTATTTGACATTTAATATTCTTTTATTTACTCTTGATAGAGATCTAGACGTAACGTCTGTTTATTTTGGGTTTAGGACGAGTTGTTGGATCAAGGGTCTGTCTAGGCCCGAAGTAAGCCTCGGTTTTTGGTTTATGTAAATCGATTAAAAGTTTGGCCGCATTTCGTTAAAATTCTTAATCGTAGTTGTCATAGGTTATACTGGTTACTTGTCAGAGGCTGGAAATATTGAGAGAAACCGCATATCTCTCCATTTGAAGCCTCCTACTTACACCTGCGGACAACAATAAGACCCCCATATCCCTAAGCTCATCTGCAAAGGATATTGACCTCATCGTGGTAATCGCTTTGAATTTCTTTTCGTACTTCCTAACCCATTTAATGTGGACCACATTAGGCGGCGGCGTCGAGATCGTGTAGTTGACTCGATTTGGACTTGGTCGATGATTGTTTGCCTTGTGAGGAGAGGGAGAATGAGTTCGGTCGCATGGTTTACAAGTGTTTGCATTCGTTTAGGCTTTGGTGTGCTGTTGTCGATCCTGGTGGTTGGTGGTGGTTTGGTTGTCTTTTGTGTTGAGAGCAGCTGAGCCAACCAACCGACAATCCATTACACGCACATACCACACATAGCTCCATATCCGCCTTACGGTCACCCGTACATTATACCTTCCCAGAGGACGACATTCTCTTAGGATCTGTCCTAACTACTGTTCTGAGAGATGAAAAGGCAGCACCTTCACCGCTGTCCTATTCATTAGTGTTTTTATGATATCTCAATGCCATCCTATGAACTTAAGAGCACCTCGTCCTAGTCTAAAGCTTTCAAGGTTCAAGACGTACTTGTCAATAAGACTCCAGAAAATTCCATCCAGCACGAATTGGAAAGCCCATTTTTCCTGAGTCCCTCAGATGGAAAGGGCAATCATTCCGGATTAGAGTTCTATTACACGGATGAAGGCTAAGTAATTGAAAGGGAATCAGGACAGAATCAGGTGTTCGAAGGGTCTGGGCATGGCCAATTGCTAGCTGAAACTCATGTGGGAATTGGGACGGCTGGGGAAGCTAAGAGGGCCTGAAAGTGGCTGGTTACCGACAAAAATTCATTTGCAACATTGAACGAGTGCGGCTGATCCCGAGACGCTAGTCTCATTCTATTCATGTGGGCGCTATTTCAGGAACACCTGGGCTCCCATCAAGAAGCGCATATAAAAATAGTTCTGACTAAATCCACGATATATCACCTTCTTTATTCCCTGTCAACTCACAGCTGCCAACAACTGGTAGACTGTTGTGGTACAAAAAAGTACTTCGCCGCCTACTTTCCTCTCTCATTCCGCTAAATGCTTCGGGATTACTCTGAAATTGCTCGTCAACCTCTGAAGAAAAATTGATCATTCTTCCACTTTCTAAGTTTTGCCTCGTCAATCAGCTATGATTGGTAGAGTTCATGGCAGCATCAGAATGTGATTTATTCTAAAGTTGCTTGGGGTTCCCTACCAATGCGATTTACAGCAAAAGATCATATCAATCGCCTTCAGTAATTGGGTGAAATCCCCATGGAACTGCCCTATTCGGCTAGAAGAATGAGGCAATAACCATTGGGAGGCGTTAGAGCTGTAATTTCATGAATTGACTACTCCTCTGTACTCGCCTGAGCCTTTGGAATCTCTAGGTTGTTGATTTTTCGAACACTTAGGAGTGGATCAGGTTAATGTGGAGTTGTAAAGTCATAGGTTATGTTCTTTTGATTTTATTACTATATGTTTATTGTAACTGTAATGGCAGTGTTTTTCAGTAAAAGCACTTAGCAGAGTAGCAAGTAGCAAAGTATTCGCTCGGCTATGTGCATTCATTTCGGTGCCAGGTACAAGTACGACCATGTCGGCTTCGGGCTACCACCAGACCACTCGACTTCATGGATATATCACTAATCTTCATTTTTATGCATACGTAGTATCCATTCGGGATCGTCGCCACCACCACCAATACTCATCCTTTCCTCGACCAGGTCTGTCATATGACCATCGGAGGCCTTTGTTACTTACTTATTAGTCAACCACTACTCGTTACCCGTCGTATTGTCGTCTTTCCCAAAAACCTGTTTTATCATCCACTTCCACTGGGGAACACTGGTTTTTCCCAAAGTATCGTGATTTCTTTGCCGAAAACCGATTTTCCCACTGATGGATGACCTTACCCGTTCCCTGCCTTGGAGGTTGCAGAGCTTGTCGGTTGCTTGGGCGTCTACGCATGGGCCCCTGTTTTTCATGGGATCATTTACGATCGCTCGTATGTGCAGCTTTACATATCTATCATGCTTACTTTCTTGCACCCCATTTTGTTACAACTTACAAACGGAATGTCATTCGCCTCGGTTGGCCGTGCCAAACGATTTCGAGAGGCTCCATAGAAACTACATAAGTATCCTCATTGCTGTACCCTCTTCTTCTCACCATTGTCAACCAAAATTGAAGTGCTGTTAACTAAAATTTCAAAATATGGCAAATGATACTATCAAAACTATGCTTCCACAGCAGCAGCCCAAGATTTTCATATCCTATATTGCTTTGGTGGTATTACTCGGTATCAATAGATTTTACCACTCAAGGTTTTCCTCATCATTGTGCTCACCGTGAGGTTGAGTTAAAACGGTAATGATTTGGGAGCTTGAGACTGTTCGAAATGTTAGTGTTCGCTGTAAAATATTCCCAAAATAATATGTGGGAGCTTGCTTTGAATCTCATACCTTCAATGATGGTTGCCCACCCAATAAACCCAATGGTCTCAAAAGTAACATGGGAATATGTATGCTGAGATTCAGAGGGACCAGAACTCTTCATAGTTCCAGTACATAAAGTGAGGGTCTCACCACTAGAATAGATTGCTTTTGTTTTCACCCTAGCCCGTTTGCAAATGGAATAGAGGTTGCTCCATGTGAAACCAATCTGCTCCACTTAGAATTTTATCCGAAAAATTGATTTATCCCATCCACCCACACTTCGCTATTGTGATTCTTGGTTTACATAAACCTTTACCGAATTAGAGGTATATTTACTAACTCGTTACTGTCACTTAATTGTCACCATTCTCGTCCTTCAGTAATAATGTTATGCTTGAAAAACGACTACAATCGCATTGATAGTGATGCTTCATTGAAACATTAATTTGATGGAAATTGCAGATGGCTGTATCCTAATGGATTAGCAATTTTCGGGTGGAACCCAGGTGGTTCCACCGCCAATTTCTCATCAAGTTCGTTTAATCTTGGCGATTTCGTTAACGATTATGCATGCGAAATTTGACAAAAGTAAATAATACTAGTTAAAAGAAGTAATGAATCAAAAACAATCAGATATTGTAAAACGGAACAGTTGGGATCGTAAATTAGAGGCGGAGCATGTATTCCGCGGGCAAGGTGAAGATATTGTAGACATACTTGCTTATTTATTTATGTAAGAACGTAGAGTACTGCTAAGTGGCCTCAGCTATTACGCGCACCTAGTTCGGGGTTCAATTTTTCAAGCCTAGAACCACTCAGGTCAACGAGGGCTTTCATTTACCCGAGGCCAGCGAATCGGTGCCCAAATTCTCTAGAAGATGCGCCGACGTGGACGTGATTGAAAAACTGGATTGATCAAGTCGAAGAGTTTAATCCTTTCTTCCTCCGGGCATTGATACTTCTAGTTGCTTTTTCCTCATGGAGAGAGGATTGTGTGAAAATGGGACTATCGAAGCTGCGTGAGTTGATAGAGTTGATAGAGAAGGAAAGCCTTGTATTGAAACATAAGTAAAAGGTACCTCGCTGACCTTCCTTGTGGTATTACAAACAATCCTAGGGTCTCAATCTGTTTCACATTTCCTATTCTTTTGGGTTTTCTTAGCTATCCTGACCATCTCTATCCTATCTGCCACGTTTTATCCTTTTCAGTCAATTACTAATCTGAAAAGAAGTCGAATGCTGGGCGCATCTCACGAATGAGATCGATAAACGCCAAATGTCATTCTACCTTTCTGGGTTGTCCGTATTCATGAAATTCTGAACACTCCCCAATGCATACATTCACCTTGATTCCTTAGGTCTCTCTATCGCCGGACATCATCGACATCGGGGCCATCGAGCAGCAGCATCAGCAGCAGCAGCAGCAGCAGCAGCAGCTAGCTGCTCTCTGCATTTCGCTGTCGGACCGGTCATCAATCTTTCTTCGAGCTCGGCTTCTTTTTCGCTGGCTATTCCACCATTGTTCAGCATTCGTCGTTTCACGTACTTTGCACTGCAACCAATCAACCCCTCTATCATCTCAAGACTTTTCGACTGCCTTTGAACTCTTGTCATAGGCCGCCTGCTGACACCGCCCTCATCACCATCACGAACGCGCCCCCACCACGCCATCCATTGTCATTTCATTAATCAGGTTCCCATTATTTCACGGGGCTATCTTACGCCGTCATGTCCGTCTCGAGATTTCTACATGAATACACACTAAAAGCACTGGTCGAACTATCGACCTATGCTTGCTATCAGGGTACCTTTGAGGCTCGACGAAATGACGGGGTGGTGTCGATACTCGCCCGAAAAAATGATCGGTTCGGAGTTTTTCTCACTGGTGCCGGAAAGCACTGAAAAATAACTTTCAAAAGAAGTGCATCAGGTGGAGAAGGTTGATTGAAAGGGAACTAAAAACACCACATTCATGCACTTTACGACTCGAGATGCTTCCTATCGATTAACCATTTTTCTAGTGAAATTACTTTCTCTAAGCTCCGCGCTCTTCGTCAGAATGACCACATCGCTCATACGTCTAGTGTGCTAGTCAACTGCCACTATTTCTACCCCCTTCTCGTCTCCTTGGATAAACACCGCAGTAATGGGAAGTTTTGACTGTACACAAGGCCACCAGTACAAGTAAAGTTTAAAAAATCCACTTCATTGTTAAACAGTCCCAGTGGAAGTCCCCTTTTTTCTCTTCTCTTTGTAATTTCGCTCCAGATGGACATACATATATACATACATAGAATAAGTTTTTTTTCAATGGCCCGTCCATATAGACGGCCACGGTTATCTCCCTCCCCTCCCCCCTCCCCCCTCCACTTTTTGCTGTTTTGAATGCTATGCCTAATGCTGGTCACAGAGAGACGGGCAGTGGGACCGGTAATAGGTATTCGATCCGCCGCACGCGGCTGTCGCAGACCATTTGCCTCCTTAAAAGTTCTCGCGTTCTTCATACAGCTCGATCACTATGCGATTATTACTTTTGGCATGATTCTACTGTTGATTCTTTCAGTACTTTTTTTTGCTTGCTGCTGCATTCTGCTACACCCCTTCGCGCGCGGCGTCTTCTCGCCGCGACGCGATAATTCCGTTCCTACTGCACCACATCCGGCTTCTCATACTATTATGGTAAATTCCGAAAAAATTTCCACAGTCACCCAACAAATCATGGATCCTGCTCCTCTAGGCCCGAAGTTTCCTATCTTAGTCGCAACAAGCACTCTTACGTTTTCTTAAGATTCCATTATGTTTGACACTTTGTAAATGACTGAGCTATCACAAAGTGGTCACAGTTTGCTAGCGTTCGGCAACATCACGTTTACGTCCTCTTCACATCATTATCATCTGTCATTATTACTTACTTCACCTCACCCAAAAAGTGCCTGCTTGGCTGGACACTTGGCAACCCTGGGCAGGTGCGTGGAATTGATAAATTGATCATGTGTTACCTTAACCTGAAAAAGAAGATTATCCCTGTGATTGATATGCGTGAGAATTAAGACGGGGCTTCAAGGACTTTTTGAGTTATTTGGGTTCTACTGCCCTTAAAGAACATCATTCTTTACGGTCATATCTTTCAGCTGACACGGCCGTAACCCGAATTCCTCATCACGGGATCGTTGTAGGTTAAGATTGATTTCAATTAACGTCCGTAGAACATTAATTTATTTATGTTTATATTTCACTATCACTTGACCAGCGGTGGGCTTTGTACAGTTGGTATTGATATCGTGAAGATACTACATAATAGTTTATTAATGGTTCCGCAGTCACCCCGTTCCCCCTGTGGTAAGGCGCTATCCCAGAATTTGAGGGAAAAGTTCATTCATGCCGATTGGAATGACAAGAGGATTGCCGTTTTACGACCATCATCCGCCTGCGACAATATCACCCATGGATTCATGCAATTTGTTATGAGACACTTGTCCACGTTAACCCATTGAACAACCAGATGCCACTCCCCCAAACGCTTCCACCCACACCTTTTCAACCCATCCCGAATGAACTTGGTTCATTCGCCGACAGAGTCATGGAATTTATGTGGCCCGTCCCGTATGGGTCATGGTTTCTTCAGTAGAACAGCCGGCTGTTCAAGTCAAACAAATGCTCTGCCGTTGTGTACATCCTCATTCATTTCGTGTTTTCCATCCGGCTCACCACTCTCATTCGATATATTGACAACCACATCCATCAAATCACCTCTGGCAAGACCAGTCAGTCTAGTCCACTGCTCCTGCTCCACTGGAACAGTTCAGCTGAACAGCTGGAAACACTAGCGCCCGGCAAAGGGGGTGCACTTTAAACCAAGCACGCCTACTACCGCTTAATAGTGTTGCAACTACATTTTTGTTCGCTATGGGCATAATAGTAATAGTAAAGTAACCATAGCACTTTTGTAACCGCGAATTTTAGGAATCAATTAAACCCAGACAGTCTGGGGAAGACTCCGTTAAAAACGCATCCGCGGGTTTTATCGCGCTATTAACGTCCGGCGGCCGGTCAGCGCTTTCGATCAGTCTCCGTCCTATTTTTTCCTATAAAAAAACCTAACGGGATTTTTAATGAGTGCAAATTTTTTTGTATTAATATAAGTTCTCAGCAATGTTTGAAACAATATTCAACTTAATGGGCCCTTGAATATCAACCTCTTCAACAAAGGCATTCGTGGTTTGATAGTGAGATATTGTTGATTTACTATGATTTTTTCGAGGTTTTTTTTCTAGTGCTGCTGAATTTGTAATACCGAATATGGAATATTGCAAAAAAAATAATGAATCAAAGAAATAGAAGCTTTTCTGTCGATAGAATTTTAACCCAAAACGAGATTATATTTGCACACATCTTACCAGTTGGCGAAAACTTAGCCCTTTCTCAAACTCAGCTTTCCTCATCCTCGATCGATCTTCCACAGAATTTTCCACTTCCAATTGCTTCTATTTGTTCCTCTCATTTCCCTTTCACCATCGCTTTTCACACATATCGTATGTCAATTAACTTGAGCTGTGAACGGTATTCGTAAGTTGTTAATTCCCCAGAAACATCACTATCAGGAACTAACTTGTTTTTCTCGATCAAGAGGTTACCCATATTAAACAAACATTAGGAAGCGAGGCTTACATTTCCTGGAGCCTTATATTAGCTGTGGCTTCCCTGGGAAGCTGAACTTCTAGCCTGAAAGGTGCAAAAAACAGGTAATGAACAGAGCCCCCTAAGTGCTCCAATCTGTAATACATAAGTTATCAGGGTTTCTGAAAAAGCTCTTCCTATTGTCGGCGTTCTCCTGAACGAAAGCCCAGTAGGGTGTTTTGAAGTGCAGTGCTCCCTCAGTGTAAACATAAACATTGGGCCATCCATTGGCTTCCAAAAGAAATTCGCACTCCATTTTTCTTATGTTCGTCGGTTCTGTGTGATCTCGTTCTGTCCACATCATTATCTACAATCGACTCAGCTGATTATAGCTTGTTTTTAAGGATCTCCTCGTCCCTCTACAGTCAACGAGAACAAAGCCTCCCCTTTCGTAGCCTGACCTCGACGACGGCTGGTTTCGTCTCCTCACACAGATGCGGCTCCTCTTCATGTCCCTTGGAAAAAACGCCGTGGTATGTGTGTGTGTGTGGGCTTCTGTGCGTGTCTGTTGGCGCTTGATTAGAAATGAATGTGCTTAGCATCATCGTATAGGGCCCATTTTCCCCTCCCTTACAAGTGTATATTCAGATTCTGTGAGCGGATGACATGGGCATCAGGGAATTGACACCATCACAACATGTAAGTCCCATTTACTGTTTAAATAATGATTTTCTTCTGTTTTCCAGCCTTCCTTTAATGAAAATTCCAATACTGCCGAAGTTTTAGATTCATTACAGTTTCACATTCGATTTTTGAATACCAGTAACCACTCATGACTCTTTCAATTTGTGTCCTTGTTTGGTTTCACTTGTGCGTAGGCGCTGAGTGCACTTTTTTGTACTCTTCGGCAATTTCCGTTCAAATCGACCTGCCACCTTAGACCCTGTCTTTTTTGCCGCCTTTTTTCAGGGTACGAGTTTCACAAGTGAATTAGTACTCGTTTCAAATAAGAAATCTCGTATTACTTACCGGATG